AGTGGTGGCAGGGTGGGGGAGGTGACATGAGTAGTAATGGCTCGGCGGAGAAGAGAGACATGGAAGACAGGATGAATTTTGGCATCATCTGGCAGTTGAAGGCGGTAGGCAACTTCACCAACCCGGGCAAGAATCTTGAAAGGGCCGTAGTAGAGCGCACTGAGTTTGTGAAATGCTCGACGAAACACGGAGTGTTGACGGTAAGGCTGCAGTTTCAAGTACACCTCATCACCGACAGAAAAACTAACATCCCTGCGATGTTGATCTGCAGTGCACTTCATCCGTTGCCTGACCGCCGATAGAGTGGTTTTGAGCTGAGTCAAAAGCTGATCACGGCCTACCAAACACTTGTCCACTTCATCAACAACTGACGACCCAGGCGGGTACGAAACCAACGGAGGAGGAGCCCGCCCATAAACTGCTTGAAACGGTGTCATGCCTGTGGTGTTGTGATAAGTAGTATTATACCAATACTCGGCCCATGGAAGGAAAGTGACCCATCTGGTGGGATGATTATGGGCAAAGCTACGAAGGTATTGTTCGAGGCAACGATTAAAGACCTCCGTTTGACCATCGGTTTGGGGGTGATAGGCGGTAGATCGTTTGAGAGTAGTGCCCGATGCTGTAAAGAGTTGCTGCCAAAAATTGCTGAGAAAAAGGGGATCCCGGCCAGAGAGGATAGACTGTGGAATGCCGTGCAGACGAACAACAGTAGCGGTGAAGATTTCTGCCACTGTCTTGGCAGTATAGGGGTGGTGAAGGGCAGTGAAGTGGGCATATTTGCTGAGCCGGTCAACGACCACCAAAATAGATGTGTGCCCCTGGGAGGGAGGCAACCCGTCGATGAAATCAAGGGATAAGGCTCAAATTGGACACTATGGTTTCATCAGAATCTCATATTTGACACTAAGGTTTCAAATGGACCAAATTAGACACTATGGTTTCATATGTATCTCATATTGGACACTAAAGTTTCATAATTCAATATAAGTGAGTGTTCAATTTGATCTTTATCCAATATAAGTGAGTGTCCAAAACCTATGAATTATGAAACTTTAGTGTCCAATATGAGATACATATGAAACCATAGTGTCTAATTTGATCCATTTGAAACCTTAGTGTCAAATATGAGATTCTGATGAAACCATAGTGTCCAATTTGAGCCTTATCCCATGAAATCAATAGAGAGATCCTCCCAGATTTGGGTTGGAATGGGAAGGGGTTGAAGTAGTCCGGCTGGTTTTAACGTGGAAGCCTTGATGCGCTGGCAAACATCACAAGCTCGAACAAATTGTTCCACCGCCCTAAGCATGCCCGGCCAATAGAAAAGTTGAGAGAGACGTTTATAAGTGCGATAGGTGCCAGAGTGGCCACTCGGAAGGGTGGAATGGGCTTCAGCAATGAGTTGTTGTTGGAGGGAAGATGTAGAGGATACCATCACTCGCCCCTTATAATAAAGTAACCCATTGCGTCTGTGATATCGTCCGTCGGGTAGAGCGTAGGAAGGATTAGATAAATCCTTGAGACGGGCGTCATTTGCGTATTCAGCCATGATGGAAGTCCAGATAGTACTGACAGGAGTGGAAATGGCAAGGCAAGCCCCTGGGTCATGTTTGATGCGAGAGAGAGCGTCGGCCACCCGATTAGAAACACCAGTGCGATAGCGAATCTCATAGTCATAGCCAGAGAGTTGAGCTACCCATTTCTGTTGATCTGGGGTGCCCACCCGTTGCTCGAGTAAATGTTTAAGACTCTGCTGGTCAGTGAGGATAATGAAATGCTGTCCTAACAGATATGCCCTCCAAAGGCGAATTGCATAAATGATGGCCAACATTTCTTTCGCGTAGATGGACCAAGCGTCTTTGGTGATAGTGCCTTGCTCATGAATGCAATGGGACGCTGATTCTGTGATAGGACTGCCCCAATACCCCCTCCTGATGCGTCGGTTTCAACCACAAAAGGTGCTTGGAAATTGGGCATTGCTAGGACAGGAGTCGTTGTTAAGGCTGTTTTCAGTCTGTCAAAGGCCTCTGTTGCTTCTACAGTCCATAGAAACCTCCCTTTTTAAGCAGGTTTGTAAGTGGTTTGGCTATAAGGCCATACCCACGAACGAAGCGCCTGTAATAACCTGTTAAACCAAGGAACCCACGCAGCTCAGTTGGAGTTGTCGGTGTTGGCCACTGTAGAATGGGAGCAATTTTGGAGGGATCCACTTTGGCACCTGCAGCAGAAATAATGTGCCCTAAATAAAGCAACTCGCTGAGACCAAAGGCACATTTGGAGAACTTGAGCCGGAAACCCTGGGCTTGCAAAACTGAAAACACAGCCCGTACATGTTCAAGGTGGGCAGTCCAGTTGGGGCTATAAATGAGAATATCGTCAAAGAACACTAGTATGTATTTCCGGAGATAGGGACGAAACATTGCATTCATCAAAGCTTGAAAAGTCGATGGGGCATTGCATAAACCAAACGGCATTATTAAGTATTCGTAATGGCCGTTGTGAGTACGAAAAGCTGTCTTAGGAATATCAGATTCATACATTCGTACCTGATGGTAGCCGGCACGCAAATCAAGACGAGTGAAAACAGTGGCCCCATGTAGCTCGTCTAATGTATCTTCAATGGTGGGAATCGGGAATTGGTCTTTGATGGTGACGACGTTGAGTTGTCTATAATCCGTGCAAAAACGCCATGTCCCGTCCTTCTTTACTAATAAGACCGGGGAGGAATAAGGGCTAGTGCTGGGTCGGATAATTCCAGCGGTGAGCATCTCGTGCACCTGTTTTTCAATTTCCTCTTTCTGGAAATGGGCATATCGATAAGGACGGACAATGATCGGTTCAGTGTCAGCTTTGAGAACGATCTGATGTTCAGTCTCACGATGTGGAGGCAAAGTGGTGAGCTCCCTGAAGAGGTCCTGAAATTGCTCTAGTAGAAGCCACATATCGGGTGCTATGTTGGAACCGTCATCAGACTTTGATAGGTAGATCAAGAAGAATATATTGCCCTTTTCTACTTCTGCCTCAGTGTAGGCACACAAGCTGTTGGAGCCGTGTTGTAAACCCGTGATAGTAATGAGTTTATCTTGATGCGTAAAAGACATAGTGAGTCTATGCCAGTCATTAGTAACAACCCCCAATGTCTCCAACCACTGGACTCCCAAGACGGCGTCTATGCCAGCAAGTGGAAGAGCAAAGAAAGAAACCTGGAACGTATTACCTTGGATATCTATTGGAACATCATCAAACTTGCCACTACTACGAAGAGGTTCCCCATTTGCTATTTTGACATTAAAAGCGGTGGATTGGATCATGGGTAATCGAAGAGCTTCTGCCAGTTTGTCACGGATGAAGTTATGGGTAGAACCACTATCAACAAGGATAATCAGCGACCGCCCTGCTATGGTGGCACGAAGACGAAGGGTCTGTGGTCCCGTCCACCCAGATAGAGCGTGCAGTGTGATCTCAGGTTCCTGGACAGTCTCAACGGGCTCCTCAATGGTGTCATCTGCCCTCTCAGTGGCGTCGGTTTCCAGTAACATGAGTTTCGGTTGTTGGCATTTATGCCCCGCCGAAAATGGTTCATTGCAGGAAAAGCATAGGTCAAGGGATCTTCTGCGTTGCATCTCTTCCCATGGTAGCCTTTTGATGGTGGCAGCAGGCTTTCTCTCGTCAGTGTTCGGAGGGGGTCCGAGGATGCCGGCAGCCGTATTAGGCCGTGTGGTGATGGATGGTTGGGTAGTTTTGTTGCTAATGGGTCGCCATGATCCCAACTTGGCCATTGATATTTTTTCTTCTACCAAATGGGCAAGCCCAAAGGCCTCCTCCAGAGAACGCGGCTTCCTCGTCTTGACTTCCAGACGGATTTCGTCTCGCAGTCCCCTAATGAAACTCCCTGTCAAAAATTTTTCCGGAAGGTCATCCACCTGATTTGAAAGTTGTTCAAAGGCTTCTTGATAAGCAGCCACTGTGGTCATTTGCTTGAGGCGAGATAAAGCTTCTGATGGATCTTCAAACTCTGTGGGACCGAACCGGACACGCAGAGCACGGGTGAACTCCTTCCACCCGACTGGTCCCTTGCGTTTTATGAGCCAACGGTACCATTGTAATGCCAAACCTTCCAAATTGATTGCAGCGAGTCGTAGCCTTTGCTCAACAGTAACTTGATAATATTCAAAGTATTGTTCTGACTGGTAAATCCATCCCGTAGGATCTCCTCCACCAAATTTTAGGAAAAATATTTTGGGATCGTGAACCCGGTGAGCATGAAGGGGTTGTGCCGAAGAATCCTCGTCGGCAAAAGGATTGTCTTCGTCTGAGGGTGACAGCTTCTCGCCTAGGGTACGAGCAAATTGCTCAAACCGGAGTTCCCATATGTCAAATCGTTGGTTAATTTGATCAAATTGGGACTCATGTCGGGCTAAGGCTTCGGCTGTCTCATTGCGGAATTCTGTGTTGGACTGATTCCGGGTAGCCATGTCTCTGATACCAATTGATAACCCAGGATAGAACGAAGAAGAAGAGTATTAGGGAGAAGACAGACAACTGAAATTGGTGGCAAAGAAGAGGGATACTCATTTCATGCCCTTTTCCCTAAAGCATAGCTCTGTTTTTATACAACTCCTACCATGAATAATACTGGGCTTAGTGGACGATGAAGATGGATAAAACCGTCTGCACATCCTCCTTATTGATAGCCATAATAATAGGACAATAACCAACAAGTAACAAATGATATGCACTAATAATTAAATGATACTCCCTCCGTCCCATTTTACCTGTCCTACTTTCCTTTTTGGGTTGTCCCAAAATAAGTGTCTTCTTTCCTTTTTTGGAAAGAAATATGTGGTCTACACCATTTCACTTTATTATACTCAAATCTCAACCACAACTTTTACTTTTTCAATCACTTCATTAATAATCGTGCCAAGTCAAACTAAGACACATAAAATGGGACGGAGTAGTATGCACTAATAATTAAATTAATAATATATTTTAAGCCTTCCACGTGCATTAGCTCTCAGTTGCAGCAGTCCAAGCTTGTAAGCAATTAACATAAGTGTTGGTGTCATAGAACTTGGGGTTCATCCTGCGGTCACGTGTACTACGTCGTGGCAGCAGCGTATCATGAATCATCACGAAGCCAGGCATCATTAGCAGCTTTATCAACTTCCTCCTTTGGCGGATCATCAACTAAGTGGGTATATTTATCAATGCTCCTTAAATAACGTTTGATAGTTTTACTCCATTCAAGATAATTGGAGCCACAAAGTTTATTCTCAGTAATTTTAAAATTAATGGGAATAACTTCAGAAACTATCAAAGGCCGACTTTGTGTTACTGCAGAGCTATCGGCGTCAGAACCAGGCATTTTTTTTTTTTTCGTAATTTTTTTTTCTCAGAAATAAAACTTTAAATGAACTTACAGCCTTTTTCGTTTATGGTCCAAGTTAGAACACAGCCCTTCCGCCTAGCACCAGGACGTCATGAATGGTGGGAAAAAAAAACTTACTGTATCCACGCCTAGTGTTGAAAGCGTGAAGCAGACTTCCAATATTATGAAGAAGTGTACCTGGTGTTGCTAGAGGAAGTCCCGACGAGTCTGGAGAGGGTTTCCGTTCGAAGCTCCGGTCAGAGGGTCGTCGTCACGCGCCGGCGCGTGCGCAAGCTGCGAGCCTTTAGGGTGGCGCGTGTAGGTCACTCACGGTGATTGGGACGCGCGGATTCCCACTGTCTGGTCGCCGGAAGAAGGTGCACCAGTGTAGGGTGAAGGTGAGATGGGTTCTGGACTAAGGTTCTGGGGTTGGTATAGGCTGATGTTCTGTGAACTGAGGTTCTGAAAGTGTGAACAAGTATTGTTGTATTTCATATACTTGATATTAAAATGCTATACAAGAAGCTATATTTATAGCTATATTTAGAGTACTAGGGTTTCCTATACAAGATATACAAATGGGCTAAGCCCAATACTACTAGGGTTTCCACACTCCCCCTCAAGCTGGAGCATATAAATCATATGTACCAAGCTTGTTACAAATATATCCCACTCTAGGACCTCTAAGAGACTTAGTTAAAATATCTGCAAGTTGTTCAGTTGTGTTCACATATTTTGTGATGATATGTCCACTGGTGATCTTCTCTCGGATAAAATGACAATCAACTTCAATATGTTTTGTCCTCTCATGATATACCGGATTTGATGCGATGTGCATTGCAGCTTGATTATCACACATGAGTTGAGCCGGTTTTGTGTTTCCATATTTTAACTCTTGGAGGAGATGCTTCAACCATAAGATTTCACAGGTAGCAAGGGCCATTGCACGATATTCTTCTTCAACACTAGATCTGGCAACCACATCCTGTTTCTTACTTTTCCATGAAATTAAGTTTCCACCAATCAAGATGCAATATCCCGAAGTGGAACGTCTATCCATCGGACATCCGGCCCAGTCTGCATCACAGTATCCCACAATATCACGGTGGCCTCGATCTTCAAACAACAATCCTTGACCTGGAGTTTTCTTGATGTATCTCAAAACTCGAATAGCTGCATCCCAATGTCCAGTACATGGCTTATCCAGAAACTGACTAAGAACACTTACCGCAAATGAAATATCTGGTCTCGTGATGGTAAGATAATTCAATTTTCCGATGAGTCTTCTATATTTTTCCTTGTTGGGCAAAAGATCTCTCTGTTCTGATAAGAGTTTAACGTTCGGATCCATTGGTGTATCCACTGGTCTGCAATCTAGCAAACCTGTTTCCTCAAGAATATCCAAGGCATACTTTCTTTGTGAGAGAGCAATTCCATTTTGAGACTGTGCGACCTCAATGCCAAGGAAGTATCAACTTTCCCAAGTCTTTTGTTTGAAATTTGCTAAAGAGATGTTGCTTGAGGAGCGCAATTCCTTGATCATCGCTACCTGTAATAACAATGTCATCAACATACACAACAAGATAAATGCATTTGTTGCCAGCGGAATGTCTGTAGAATATAGAATGATCGACATCACTGCGAATCATGCCAAAGCTGCAGACAACAGCACTGAACCTCCCAAACCATGCACGTGGAGATTGCTTCAAGCCATATAATGAACGACGTAATCTGCACACCATACCAGACTCCCCCTGAGCAACAAATCCAGGTGGTTGCTCCATATAAACTTCCTCGTGCAGATCTCCATGAAGGAATGCATTTTTAATATCCAATTGAAACAATGGCCATCGGCTCATTGCTGCCATGGATAAAACCAAACGAACTGATGCAATCTTCGCTACAGGAGAAAAAGTGTTAGTGTAATCCAAACCATATATCTGAGTATACCCTTTCGCCACAAGGCGTGCTTTAAAACGGTCAATCTCTCCATCAGGCCCTACTTTAACTGTGTAAATCCACCGACATCCCACCACTGATTTGCCAGTGGGAAGAGGGACTAAGTCCCACGTCCCACTAGAATGAAGAGCCTCCATCTCAGCCAACATGGCTTTACGCCACTCCGGGTGTGCCAGTGCCTCATGTGTGGTTTTAGGAATGCATATATGAGACAGGTGGGAAATAAAAGCATAGTAAGGGGTAGAGAGGCGGTGATAACTCAAAAAGTTATATATGGGATGTGGATTCAAAGTAGAACGTGTACCTTTACGAAGAGCAATGGTCAAATCATCCTGAGTATTTTCGGGTGCTGGGGAATCTGATGGTGATGATACGGGATCCATCGTAGGGGATTCAACTGGCGTCGCCACAGTAGGCACAATGGGAGGGGGTCGAAAACGTCGATGGTATACTTGTAATGGACGTTCTACCATAGGAGAGCAATTTGGGTGCTCATCAGATGGTGGGTTAATGGGAGTCTCCAGATGGATGGGTCGGAGATATGAGGCGAAGTCCAAATATGATGGGGTATCGACCGAAGATAGTGGATAATAAAAGGACGACTCAATGAAAGAGACATCGGCTGAAATAAAATGTTTCTTGAGTAATGGAGAATAACAACGATAACCTTTTTGGAGTCGCGAATATCCAAGAAAGATACATTTTATTGACCTAGCCGACATTTTAGCTAATCCAGGTGTCGTATCATGGACAAAACACACACACCCAAAAACATGAGGTGGTAATGGAAATAAATCATGAGCAGGAAACAAAATAGAATAGGGAATTTCATTATTAAGAACTGAGGAAGGCATTCTATTTATTAAATGACACGCAGTGAGAACAGCATCTGCCCAATACTGAGGTGGGGCATGGGAATGTAATAATAGGGTATGAGCAGTATCAACCAAGTGTCGGTTCTTGCGTTCAGCAATCCCATTTTGTTGAGGGGTGTGAACACAAGAGGATTGGTGAAGCATACCCCGTGATGCCATGAATTGATTAAAGGATGCCCCAATAAATTCTTTAGCATTGTCGCTGCGTAGAATTTTGATAGAATGACCAAACTGAGTTTGAACTTCAGCACAAAAAGTTTGAAAAATATGAAACAATTCAAAACGCTCTTTCATTAAAAACAACCATGTGTAACGGGAAAAATCATCCACAAAAACAACAAAATAACGGAAACCTAAAGTAGAAGTGACTCGATACGGACCCCATACATCTGTATGAACTAAATCAAACGGCGATGTGGCCCGTTTATTGACTCGTCTCGGAAAGGATTTACGAGGTTGTTTTCCAAGGTGACATGACTCACAATCTAAAGATGAAAGATTTGAGAAACCTGGAACCATACGTTGAAACTTTGAGAGACTAGGATGACCCAGACGGTTATGTAAGGTAATAGCAGGTTCAACTGAAACACAAGCGATTGGATCAAGAGGATGGAGATGATACAGACCTTGAGATTCATGTCCGACGCCAATCGTTTTCCCCGTACAACGGTCCTGCACAATCACAGAATCAGCAGAAAATGTTACGGAACAATTAAGAGCACGTGTAATTTTACTGACAGAGACAAGGTTAAAAGGGGTGTTTGGGACATATAAGACTGAGTCTAATGGTAAGGATGAAAGTGGAAGTGCTTGCCCAATACCCGAAGCCGAAGTTTGAAGGCCATTAGCAAGAGTAATCAAAGGAAGATGTCGATGCTTGGTAATATGGGATAAAAGATGGGGATTACCAGAAATATGGTCTGAGACACCTGAGTCAATGATCCATGAGCCGGTTGTGTTTGAAACACAAGCGGTAGACATCCCGGGTGTAGGTAAAGGCATGTTAGTCAACTTAAATTGCTGATATGCTGCATATTCTTCCGGTGATAGAACAATGGGAGATGGTGGTAGCTGAGCAACATGGACTGAGGGAGGAGGTCTCCCATGTAATTTCCAACACCTGTCTTTAGTATGGCCAATTTTATGACAAAAATCACATTTAGGGCGGTTTCGCCTTGAGTATCCTTTGTTGTTCCCACCGTCAGTTCTCATAAAAGACATATTTTTTTTCTTTTTTCTTTTTTTTTTCTTTTTTTCTTTTTCTTTTTTTTTTGTTTTGCCCTTTTTTTTTAGGATAACAGAAATTTAAATCTATGAAGTAGTGCGATCCCAATTAAACATCAAAGTAGTGCACCAGAAATAAATTAATAGAGAAGTGCAGCAGTACCAACTACCAAGGCAGCATCACAGCAGCGGAAGTGCAAAACAGCAGCCTGGGAAGAGTCGCGAAATTTAAGAAAAAACAGACCTTGGGAGTGGTGAACAAGACCTAACAAAACAGTGGCAGAGGCGGCAAGCGGACAGAGCGACGTCGCCGGTACGACCGATCTGGGCGGCGCGTGAGTTTGGCGGCGGCGCGTAGGTTGTCAAATGAGTTCCTGCGTTATGCTGTTCTAGTCGCCAGAAACTCCAGATCTTCAGGGTGTGGGCTGTGAGAGCTCCGGAGAAGTAGAACGGAGGAGATCTGCAAATATGTGAGTGAGCTGCAGGAAGGGGCGGTGGCGCGTGAGGGCGCGTGGTAGCCTCCGTGCCGGTACTGTTCCGTTTGGTTGGTAGCGATAGTATGCTGAGCAAGGCGGTAGGTGTAGATCGGATATTCACTACCGGAAGTGTGCTCCAGCACCAATCGCAACTACTGTTCAAAGCCGGAAATTATGCCGGAAAAGCTCCCTGGAAACCAGTGCCCTAAGTACAGTTTGCTAAATAGGCTCTGATACCATGTGAACAAGTATTGTTGTATTTCATATACTTGATATTAAAATGCTATACAAGAAGCTATATTTATAGCTATATTTAGAGTACTAGGGTTTCCTATACAAGATATACAAATGGGCTAAGCTCAATACTACTAGGGTTTCCACAGAAAGAAAAGAATAAAAATGGAAACTAAGCTAAAATGGAACAAATATGCTCTGATACCATGTTTTCGGAATTAAGGATAGAATAGTAATGAGAAGAGAATGATTTTCTGTGTATTTCATTGGAGGGTTAAGTCCCTATAAATATACATTACAAAGATAGAATATTCCTATAAGATTCTATACAATAATAATATTCTAGAGTATATTCCTAAAATATTCTAAAGTATATTCTAAGGATAGAAGAATATTCTAAAGTATATTCTAAAGTATATTCTAATGTCTTTCACAAATCATAAGATAATAGAGGCCCGGGTAGACTAGTGTGGTTAGTAATAATGATTATAAGAGTAGTACAAGTAGAAGGAATAAGAGTTAGGCAGATTGTCAGTTGGAATTAGGCTGGGAGAGCGAGGCCTCTCAAAGTGTCTCGATCTGTTTTCTTCTTTCTTTCAGTATAATCCGAAATTTCTGCTGCGTTTGTTGAGGTTTCTATCACTTACACATCAAAGGCGTCAGCCTTACTATCGCATCAAACTAGTTACGCCTCTCATCGCGAACTCCCTGAAATTCTTAAAGGCATGCCTCAAGGCGCAGTTGCATTGTGCAGTATCAAACAATGACAAAAGACATAATTTACTGCTTTCATTATTTATATTTTTACTATTGTTGTTGTTGATATGGTTGGGATTATTATATAGCCCGATCTTATGTAAATTCTGTTTGTGGATATACCGGCAGCAGGCAGGTTTTGACTTCATCTTGAATACCTATTTATATTTACAGTTCTTGGCAAGAAGACAAGCACACTTGTTACGTGATCAACAGGGTCCATCCTTTTCAGAATTTGGGGTATGGTTTAAATTGCAAATTTCAGCATTACCTTTTGTGCATTAGGTTGGATTAGTTTTATTTCTCTAAAACTTAAATGCTTTTACCAATAAGCCTCCTGTCATTTTTTCTCTAATAGGCTTCCCCCGTATTTCCATGGATGTGCACATATAGTGCCATAGTTAAAAACTTGTTTTGCTTGAGCTGTATTAACATTTTGTGTTAGTGTCTTAGCATAATGAAATAACCATAGTGATTGGGTATGAAACAAGTGTGGTATGAATGATAGTGAATATTACTAAATTGCAGTGGAGGAATGAACCGTATATTTGAGGGTAAAAATTCATGGGCAGGCATTAGAGTTAGCTATGGTTTGCAAAGGAAAGCTCCTATCCTATGTACCCTAAATTGCCTTCAAGTGTGTAAGTGCCCATTGAAGCAGAAAAAACATATGCAAAAACCCCCACCTTTTCAACAATCCCATATACCCATCTTTCAAAATCAAAACTTTCTCTTCTCTTTCAAGGATGAAATTCACAGTAGTAGCAACACCTGGAAAGACATTGCACAATGACTCAAGCTCAACATGACAGTGCGACTGTCCATGGTAAAGATCTTCCAGAGAGAAACCCAGAATTAGGAATGTGCCCATTGAAGCAAAAAAAAAACATATGCAAAAACCCCCACCTTTTCAACATCCCATATACCCATCTTTCAAAATCAAAACTTTCTCTTCTCTTTCAAGGATGAAATTCACTGTAGTAGCAACACCTGGAAAGACATTGCACAATGACTCAAGCTCAACATGACAGTGCGACTGTCCATGGTAAAGATCTTCCAGAGAGAAACCCAGAATTAGGAATGACCCGGAGGTGTTGAAATGTGTGATCTGGAAGACATCACCCACTTTCCCAGGAACATTCATCACAGGATATACCCATGTGTGAAAGTGAACCAGGATCCACTACAAAAACACAGTTCCGCAGACTGTATTGGTTATTTCCTGCGAACTCTTTGTTCTGTTATGCACCTCTACAGTCTTCAGATCCATATTTGTAATCCTGTTAACTGCCAGATCTAGCCGAGTCTGAAAGGGATTGCACTCGGGCCAAGTAACATGGGCAGATCTGACACTCTACTATTCTAGGATGCAGTTCTAGGATGCAGGTGAAGAATAAAAGCTCTGTTTCTGATCGTCAACAGATTTCTTTCCCTGAGAATATTCTAAGAACCTGGCTAGTGTTCTCTTAATCAAACACAGGACGTGGATCGACTCGGTCTTGCATCATTTGGGATTACCTCTGAAAGAACTGGATAAACAAGACACAGGGCAAAGAGGCAGAGCGTGAAAGAAAGACTCACTATTGCTGTTACAGTTGTGAGAAAGGAACCAAGTTAGACGTGGCTGAAGTTGGCTAAAGAGTGTAGCGTTGAATAATAGCAGAAGCAAGAAAGACAGGGTTACCTGACACTGTTCTTCTATTTAAAAGAGACTTACTTTTCTAGGGAGTGACCCACTTTTTCTGAAACAATGGGGTGAGTAATATCGCGACAAACCCCGGGTCAATAATGTTATCCCTATAATTTAAAATTTCAGTCAACTATATCTCATATGTGTTCATCAGTACAAAGCAAAAAACAAATTCATTACATGATGTGTCTTATATGGTATTGAACTATTGATGTAATTTCGTTCTTCCCCTTTCCCTACCTCTATTTCATGTAATTGTAAGTGTGGGTATAGAATTAATGGATATATTATATATACATTGCAGGGTATTGGTGGCTTTTTTGGTGCATCGTAACTTTTGACATATTCTTAACTTGGTAGCTGAATTATAATAACAAATTTTAGAAAACATAAAAACACCTGACTGGCCAACACTTTTACATACTGTTAAAAACTTCAGCACCGTCAGTTATCTACGTAGAAGTATGAATATCGTTAAAGAGTTATGTATTTGAGTAATAAATAGAAACTGCCAGACATTTTTTACTTACACATGTTATGATCTTCAACACATGGCTTGAAGTGATTTTGTTTTATCTTGCTTCTTAATTACACGGTCCTCTTAATTAAAACTTGGAAAATTCCTAATGCTTTGAACTGAGAAGGGCCTGTGGTAATTGAAAGTTGAATGGATTATGGCTATAGAAAATTCACTCTTGTGTTTTTGTTGAATATGAACTTCCTAAGATCTAAGTCCACTAGCAAAAGGGCTTGAGAAGGACATTACAGGATTACTCTGTCCATTCCAAATCAGAGTCTTGTTTGTCTAATATGCACCTATTTAATTTTAGCAAGCTACAACAATGGTTAAAATTCATTATTTCCTTATATTATTTTAGAACTTATTTTTTGGTTTGCTGTTCTCATATTCAACTTGTATCTAACCTTTTTTGGCAAATCATGTGAAGAGCTAGCTTCCTTCGAGGAAATAGGAATAGTTTTTGGACAAAAAACTTTTGAAACATGGCATGTTTTTGTGAACGGGGTACCACTATGTATTTTATTTAACCTCTACCTGTATGAATAGACAATGATCACTTCAAACTTACCATACTTGGTTTTCTGAGACATTTATCTTCATTTCAGGTGTTGGTTGACATGATTCGGGTGCCGGAATGGGCATTTGATGTTGGTCAAGAAATGAGGGGGATGGGCCAAGATGCTACTGCATATCATCCTGGACTTTACTTGACTCCAGCTCAGGTAATATCAGATATAACCCTTACTATCAAGTATAAATAGGGAGAGCATACGCTTGTAATTCGTGTCTACTTTTCACATCTTCTGTAGTCCTCAATATGTGTTTATTTTTTTCAAAATTAAAATAAGGGAATTCTTGTCTCTTATGATTAAGGGGTTTTCCCTTGAATATGACTAAATTCAAGTCAATTTCCAAAAAAACTGACCACTCTTACATGTGGACAAAAATATGACTAACAAGGTCATATTTTTGGAAAAACATGATCTCACCCCTATAAAATTTTATGTCATTGCCAGATTTTCATTTCATTGTCACAATGTCACTAATAGATGTCACTGCCAGATGTTCACATCACTTACAGATGTCACTGCCAGATTTTCACATCACTTACAGATGTCACTGCCACCGTGAGACATGTCACTGTGATCGGTGGAAAATTTCACGGTGACTTTTTCTTGCGATTTTTAAAAAGTCCTAAAAAAGAAAAAGAAAAAAATCAACAAAAAATTGCGACGGCTTTTCCAGTAGAGGTTTCCGACAGTGGATCCAGCAGTTGCTGGGCGGTGTAGGGGGGAGGATGGGGGCTTGGGCAGAGATTTGATATAAATTATAATGAAAAAAAGATGTGTTAATTAAACAAAAGGTTAGTCATATTTTTGAAAAAAGGAAAAGTAGTCACTTTTTTGTATTTCACAAAGCTATTGGTAATATTTGTGTCCTTATGCCTTATGGTGATAATACACAAATTCCTGATTCATATTATTGAATTTATGCTAATTTATCATTTTATATAATTTAGTTTGAAGAACTATCAAGTTAAAAGTAATACATTTTTTAAGATGAAAGATAAGGCCTCCACTCTCTTCCCTTTTAAATCCCTCCCACAAGCATTGCTATAGTTCTTACAAATTCATTCATGAACACAATGTATTCCTATGTATATATGATGTTCGTGGATCCTTACGTAAGTGTTGGGATTCCTCCCTGTGGCTTGTAGAGAGAAGCGGTGGAGGCACTTATACAGGAACTTCCTAAGTTCAGGATGAAGGCTGTCCCGACTGACTGCAGTGAATGCCCTATCTGTTTGGAAGAGTTTCATGTTGGAAACGAGGTAAAAGAATCCACCCGTCAATGCATATTTAAAAACCAACCAGCAGATAATTGATTCTTAGTTAATTCTGAGGCTCAATATAGGTAATAACTTCACTTTTAGTGGGGCTGTTTGGTTCACCGAACGTGAGATTATTATACCTTTTTTTTGAGATCATTATACCTTAGGTAGTAGGATTACTGCCCTTAGCGAAATGGAAAGTGGCACAGATAACCTTTAAGAGGGTGTTTTGATTCATGGCATGTGAGATTGCTGTGGGTAATAGGCGTTTCGAAATGTGATACCTCTGCTGTCAAAGTATTAATGGTAAACTCCTCTAATAGGCGTTTCGATTCACGGTATATATATATATATTGTTTCTAAGTTTATTTTAGCGACCAAGGTATCTTACCATGGAAAAAGCTGTTTGTACACATAATTTGTACACATTTCTTGTACACTCCCCAGTTGCCTATGTACACAGGCAAGTGTGTACATAGTGTGTACACTGACAACTAGGAAGTGTGTACAAGTAGCACCACCCATCTTACCATACCTAAGAAAATGGAGGCATTCACATTCTCCTGGTTTAGTAAAAATGGAAACATGACAATAATCATACACGATCACGCAAAAACATATTTTACTTGAACCAAACAAACACGGTTATGTAACATACCTAGGATGTTTTTACTCGGATTGTTTTCAGTACCAGACTATTTCAAACCAGACTAGACTTGTATAGTTATAAAATACACAGAGACCAGTTCAGACCAGATCAGACCAGACCAGACTAGAAAATTTCAGTCCAAGTAAATACATCCTTGGACAGCACAGGTCATGCAACATTCGGTGAACCGAACGCCCATTAGTCTGTCCTCTCCAGAAGCAGTTTTAATAAATCTTGCACAGGTCCGGGGTCTACCTTGTGCTCACAACTTCCATGTGGAGTGCATCGATGAATGGCTCCGCCTGAATGTAAAATGCCCAAGATGCCGCTGCTCGGTTTTCCCAAATCTAGATCTTAGTGCTTTGTCCGACATCCAGCCCGAACCGGAGAGGCCATCTTCAGCAAATAGTTATGCTCGAACACAACCAGCACCTTCAACCCACATACTGAGATTGCTCCATCCAGTCAGCTCTGGACATCCCGAGTTTTCACCACCTGCTACTGAACATTCTGGGTCTGTAGAAGTGTAGGTAGTCGTGGCAGAACGTGTTTCGCCTAGGCAGTGACTGCTTCCTGTATATTCCAACTACACACTGGCTTTGAGGGGATACCTTTTTTTGCCTGTTATAGCCTTCGTTGACGGCTTCTACTCCGAATTGTTCATAGTACGCTTAGACTTGCGTGGACTGGAATAATACCTTCACAACTCGAAATCTGATGTTTCCTTTGGAATGATGTAATGAAGAGTGGATTTTGTTTGTACATGCCAAATAGCCAAACTGAAAATGGAGTGAAAATTTCTTGTTTTGTTGTTGACGTGCGGCCGTGCGGGTTAACTTCAAATGGGGAATCAACCATCATGTATTACTTCTTCAGTAATAATAGTTCAAAGGAGGTTTGGAACTGCTTGTGCTGCTTTTCTGTGTACAATAAATTGTGTCAAGCTGTGTACTATTAATTCCCCTAGAATAGAGGATCAGTCAAGACTTATAAGTGTTTAGATGACTTGATGTTGTGAATTAGTTTTTTTGTGTGTAAATTACCAAAAGGTGAAATTAATACGTAGTACATCACTAATTCCCACTTTTATGCAATTTAACAAAGACAACATACTTGAAATTTCACTGTTGATTGCATCTCATTCGCCATTTCACAAAAATTAGGCATGTGATCGGTTCGGTTGTGGTTAAAATTTGATAAAACCATATTAGAAAGGAAAAACTGTCAAATATGCCCATGTACTATCAAAAACGTCAATTAAGTCCTGGTACTATAAAATCATCTAATTGAACCCTTGAAATATAAAAAAACAACCAATTACGCTTTCTAGCCCGTTACTAACACGTTAGCCTGTTACTAGTGACGTGGATGGTTGAAATAGCCTTAATTTTTTCATGTGGCTTTTTTTTTATGTTTTCTCTTTTTTAGTATGTTCCTGCGGCTGTTTCATCCATGCGCAAGTAGTGATTAGGGTTGGACTCGGGCCGGGCGGCCCGAACCGGAACCGGCCCGGCCACTGTTTGAACCGGCCCGGTCACTGTTTGAACCGGCCCGGCCCGGCGGCCCGGCACATGTGCGGTTCAAATCGACCCGGCCCGGTGGCTACCGGTTCCGGGCTCGGGCCTTCATTTTGGTGAACCGGCCCGGCCGGTTCGGGCCCGGTCCTGGCCGGATTTATTTGTTCTTTTTTTGATTTTTTTTTAACTTTTTGGGTTGGATTGGGTATTTTGGGTCATTTGAGGTGGTTTGGGGTGGTTTGGGGTTGAGGGGGAGGGTAGGGGGTTGATTAGGAAAACCCCCAAAAAAAATTATATAGAATCGAATCGGGCCCGGCCTGGCCCGGCCCGAACCGGACCCGGGGTTACCCGGGCCGGTTTCGGGCCTCCCCTACCTTGATCCGAGGCCCGGCCGGTTCAAGGCCCGAACCGGGCCCGGCCAGGAACCGGGCCCGGTCAGGAACCGGTCCACCCCTAGTAGTGATGGACCTGGGCCGGGTCGGGCCCGGGTCGGGCCTAGGCCCGGTCGGGCTTTAGAAGTTGGGAGGTAGGCCCGGAACTAGGGTTGTAAACGAATCAAATAATCTGTGCTCGATTCGTGATTTGAATTCGGATAACATCGTTCGAATTCGGAAAATTCAAATACAAATAAGAGTATTAAATTTGATTCAAATTATTATCAAATACAAATAAGAATATCAGTGTATTTGATTCGAATATTAATCAAATTTATTTGATTAATAATAATGATAATATTAATATCAATAATAATAGTAATAATAATAATAATAATAATAATAATAATAATAATAATAATAATAATAATAACACTTAATAACTTTTAAAAGATAGCAATACCATCAAAATGTGGCCCATATGTACATTTTTGTATACAAATTTCAAGTCATTTGTAATAAACCAAAATGTAGGGTTGGACTCGGGCCGGGCGGCCCGACCCGGAACCGGCCCGACCCGGTTACTGTGCTACCCGGCTCGGCCCGGTGAACCGGTGGCTGGCGCTTCGGGTCGACCCGGTCCGGGGGGAGGGCGGTTCGGGCTCGGGTCACGATATTCTTGAACCGGCCCGGGCCTAACGGCTATTTTTTTCATTTTTTTCTTCTTTTCCAAAATTTTAAAGCCTTGGGCTGGCTGGCAAACGGCTCTATAGCCGTTGGGGAGCCTCCAAACGGCTCTATAGCCGTTGGAGGGGGGGGGGGGGTGGGGGGGGTGAGATAAAAAAACCTATTTATACTCCTATTTTCTATACATTTTTTACACCTTCATACAATCCTACTCTCTAATTCTCTACTCTCTCAATCTCTAAAATCTTCATTCATCTCCATCTTCTCCAATTATCTCTCTCTCTCTCTCTCTCTATATATATATATATATATATATATATTATTTATATAATTATTATTATATCTACTTATATAGTTATATATTTATTATCTACTTATATATACATATATTATATGATGGTATTGCATTTATTCTCGATCCTCGTTTTCGATTTGGTAATTTGGAACAATGTTACAAGTTCTATTATGAATCTTTTTATGGTGATTTTCCAATGTATGAAGATAACCCTATAGATCCACAATCTGAATACAACGAGGTTAGTAGTTTATTCTATTCTTTATTTAATGAGTTTCGTGCACAATATGGCAACGCGCCCCCTCCCCCGACCCAAACATCTTCATCTAAAGGAAAATCACTTTTTAAATCTGCATTTGGCAATCTTGTGAAAAAAACTAAAACAACTCACACTACTGAACAAAGCACAATTAATGAGATTGCTTTGTATACTAACTATGAGGTTGAGTTTGTAGAAAATGAAGAATTTGACGTCCTAAAGTGGTGGAAGTCAAAAGAAAGAATGTTCCCGATTTTAGCACGGATGGCTAAGCAAGTACTATCAATGCCGGTTTCAACAGTTGCCGTGGAACAAGAATTTAGTTCGGCCGGCAACGTCCTAACTAAATCGAGAACGTGTTTGAGTGCCGAATCTCTTGAGACGCTTATATGCTACCACGATTGGTTGAAGGCAAGACGTAGAACTCAAGAAGTTAGCATCACCCCCTCCCAAGACTTTATGGATGAATCAACCGAGGGTGGTTCTACCTATGCTGGAGATTCCGATTGATTAGTATTTTACAATTTATTTTTTTATCCTCAATTCTCTATTGTAATTTGTCAACTTGTAGATTTGTAGTTCATATTTCAAATCAATATACATTATATATTTTTATATGTCGCATTTCTCAAATTAATCAAGTTACAACTTACTCCCTCTGTCCCTAAAAGAAGTTTCATTTCGCTTATCGAGGGTCAACTTAAATCACTCTTAAACTCTTACTTTTTATATCAAAATTTTATAAAAGTTGAATTATTTTTTGCAGGCTTTGTAGCGGGTTTAATGTAGTTTCTGAATATGTAAATTTTATTTACTAAAAATAATCCGAGTTTTCACAGGGATCATTTAACTTTATCGTCGGTCAACCTTCGTAATCCGCAATTGGAACAACATTTAGGGACGGAGGGAGTACAACTTAGAAAGTTAGAAACTTACAATTAATTATATTATATTATTATTACTTATTACAAAATGTATTAGAATTAATTGTTCTCAATTCTCAAATGTAATTCCTATTTCACATAAATGCACTTGAAGATTGTTTTATAATATCCAAAAAGATGTATATTTTAAAAAAGAAAAATATACAGCCCCGACCCGACCCGGCGGTTCACCCGGCCCGGGGCCCGGCCAGGTCACCCGGCTCAGGGCCCGGCCAGGTCACCCGGCCCGAACATGCACCCGTCTATTAGCAGGCCAGGCCCGGGCCCAACTTCTGCAAACCGAGGCCCGGCCGGTTCGAGGCCCGAACCGGGCCCGAACCGGACCGGGCCCGAACTGGACCGAGTCCAGACCTGCCAGAATGTAAATACGAATACAAATCAATTTTTTGGTTCAAATGCTTTCAAATACAATACAATTAAATAATTATATGTATTCGATTTGAAGAATAAAATTAGACTTGTTTGACTTTAATATATACAATTATCAACTTATTTCACACATTAAAAGTATAATTTCTAATATGTGTGTGTTAGTGTTTATTTCAAAAAAGTTTGAAATAGATTTATATTTATTAATCATAAAATTAATTCACTTTAGTATATTGTGCACCATCTAAAAATGTGTTGATCCATTAAATTTTAAATTCTAAAAACACATATTAAGTTAAGCATGCATTTACAACATAAACAATACGAAGTATAAGAAAAGTTATTTTAAAGTGATATTTGACTAATATTTAATTTATGCTCAAATTGATTCGATATTCGTATATGATTCGTTAACTATTCGTATTGTTAAACAAATACAAATACAAATTGAAATTAATATTCGTTTCATATTTGAATTCGAATTCATATTTGAAAAAAATAAACAAATACAAATACAAAATCTCAATATTCGACTCGATTCGGTTCGTTTACAACCCTACCCGGAACCGGCCTGGGTAACCCCCGGGTCGGGCCTCGGGCCAAATTCTATGTTTTTTCTTCCTTTTTCTACTTAACCCGCCCCCCAACCCCCCAAAACTCCCCAAATGGCCCAAAATACCCAGCCCAACCCGGGAATTCAAAAACAAATTGAAAAAAAATTTATGGTTCGAACTGGGCCCGGCCCGGCCGGTTCCTTATTTTCCCGACCCGAGCCCGCACCAGAAAACCCCCAGGCCGGGCCTACACGGACCGGTCCCTGTCCGGGCCATCGGGTCGGGCCGGGCCTAACAATACCGGGCCGGGTCCGGTTCCGGGTCGGGCCGGGTTGAGCAAAAAATTCAATCGAGAAGGTCGTCAAATGATTTTTGTAAGTTAACTAGTCCGGAAAATACATATTCCGGACCAGTTAACTTGCAAAAATCATTTGACGACCTTCCCGATTGAATTGTTTGCTGAAATTTGGTATGGATGAACTAGAATTGATGAGGAACATACAAAAAAATTTGAGCAAAAAATACCACCGGGAAGGCCCCAAATGGAGGAGGCCGGACGGGGCTCCGGTCAGGAATTTCCTGACCGGAATATTTGTGTATATATATATATATCCTAGACTATCACTCTAGATTTGCCATGTAAAGTAATTACTGGTATTTTATTATCACACGGTCTCTAAGATCATCCACATCTCTCTCGCCTAAAAAGTTAAATGTGGACTCCATTAATACCATGTAAGGATCGTTTTCTTCCGTCTCCGGCTCAGGTCTATCTACACACACACTCACACACCACACTAGGAGGAAGCTATAGCACACCAATATTTTACTCTCCACTAAGGACCTCTCTACTCTCACACAAAGGAGGAAGAAGGGAGCTCTGCTCTCTGGAATACTCACTCTCGCAGGCTGCTTCAAACTGGGAGAAGCAGAGGACTACTAATAGGCTGCCAAGGAAGTCACGGGTGAGGCAAAAACAAAAGACACTCACATGCTACTCAAACAAAGGAAGGTCACATGTATGAGCCAAGACAAAGTGGTTGCAGCGGACAACAAACAAAGGGGGCTAGCCAGTAGGTAAGTCAACTCAAATTGGTATATTATTGATCAGATAATATACCAAGGTAAAAGGTACCAAAGTGGGAGTAAAACAATAGGGTGCAGCCTCAACAAATAAAGTGGAAGGGAGGCCTTGGTAGGACCAATACCTCCAACATTCTCCACCTTATTGGTCCTAGGTGGTGTAGAGTAACAATACAAGGTTGTGACTAGACTCATCATCGACGGGTCACCCGGAATATCAAAAGACAAAACGGGCAAACACTTTATGATGCAACCCACAGTTATCCACAGTCAAAGTTTAACACGCGTTTACAGGACAAGTGCTTCTCAGCAGAAAGACACTTGGTACCCATATCCGCGGGGTTAAACTCGGACAGGATCTTGCACAGCTTGACTCCACCTGCATCAACAATATCACGTATGAAATGGAACCTAATATCAATATGCTTAGTTCTATCATGAAATACAAGATTTTTGCAAAGTTGGATAGCCGATTGGCTATCCGAGAAAATGGTAACTCCCTGTTTGAGAAACCCAATTTCGGAGACAATGCGTTTGAGCCAGATGGCTTCCTTAAACGCTTTTGTGGCTGCGACATACTCGGACTCAGTGGTAGAAAGGGCCACAATAGGCTGCAGTTGAGACTTCCAACTAATGCAAGAGCCACACAAAGTAAAAACATAAGAAGTGGTCGACTTCCTGTTATCTCTATCATTTGCATAGTTAGAATCAACATAACCAATCAATTCAATACCACTAGCACATTTAGAGAAAATTAATCCATGCTTCACAGTATATATCAAATATCTAAGCAACCACTTAAGAGCATTCCAATGGGGCAAACCGGGGTTGGACATATATCTACTCAAGCAACTAACCGCATATGCAATATCAGGTCTAGTGCTAACCATAAGATACATAACCGACCCTATTGCGCTGGAATAGGGCACAGATTTCATTTTCTCAATTTCAGGAGCAGTCTTGGGAGACTAGTCCTTACTTAACACAAAGTGAGATGCCATAGTGACATTAACAGGAGAAGCAGATAACATATTGAATTTACTCAAAACCTTTTCTATGTAAGAAATCTGATTCAAAGTAAGAGTATGCTTACTCCTATCCCTAACAATGTTTATGCCTAGGATCCTTTTGGCATCACCTAGGTCTTTCATGGCAAAATTCGCACAAAGGCATTTTTGCACATCTTTTATAACATTCAGAGGACTAATTATTAGCATGTCATCCATATAGAGTAACAAAAATACAGACACAGAAGAAGTATTCTTGAAATACAGGCAATGATCACAAACAGATTTTTGGAACTTCAAAGATATCATGCATTTATCAAATTTGATGTTCCTCTGCACTAATCCATTTCTGAGACTCTTTGGAACCTAAGGCTTCACGGTAGGTCTTGGGTTCATTCAGCTCTAGGGATTCAAACACAGAAAATGCAACCATAGAAGTATCATGCACAATGAAAGCATAATCAGACATTCTATCAGCAGTTCTCTTGATGGCCCTTCTACTCCTATCTCTAGCAAGTTGATAATCATGCAAATTATCACTACTAGGCTCCACATGCAACTCATGCAAATTATTGTTATCATGAAAATCAGATTCAGCACCCATATCATGCAAATCATGCTCAGTATCATGCAAATGCTCCACCTCACTCGAGGTGGTGGGACTATCATGCTCAGAGGAATCAGAATCATGCATAACAATATCATCAGTAATAACAGGATCAACAGATAAATGACTAGCAGCAACAGGGACAGACTCCACCTCACTAGGAGTACTATCAGACCTAGACTCGGGATTAGAAACAGACTCGGTCAAGCAAGGAAAATCAGTTTCATTAAACACCACATTTCTGCTAAGGACCACCTTAAAGCCTACCTGATTCCTATCCCATAACCTGTAACCCTTTACCCCCTCTAGATAACCTAGGAAGACACATTTCTTAGACCTAGGATCCAACTTGTCAACCTGTTGATGTGCATACGCTGCATAACCAAACACCCGAAGGTTAGACAGATCAAGAGGCTTACCGGTAAAGACGGCTTCAGGGCACTTACCACCAAGAGGGACAGACGGGGACCTATTGACCAAATAGGCAGCAGTAGTAACTGCTTCACCCCAGAATTTCTTAGACAAACCAGAGGTAGCTAACATGCTTCTAACCTTATCCAACAGAGACCTATTCATTCTCTCTGCTATCCCATTCTGTTGGGGAGTATAAGGCACAGTTTTGTGCCTTCTTATCCCACAATCCACACACAGCTTATCCATCTCCTTATTACAGAACTCTAACCCGTTATCGGTCCTAAGGGTTTTAACCTTCCTGCCACTTTGGTTTTCAACTAGGGTTTTCCACTCCCTAAACTTCACAAACACCTCAGACTTGTGTTCTAAAAGGCAAACCCACACCTTCCTAGAAAAGTCATCAATAATAGAAAGGAAATATTTCCTACCCCCGTGGGTAGGAACACTGGCAGGACCCCAAACATCGGCATGAACATATTCAAGCATAGACGAACACTTAGACAGATTAGGGTAAGAGGAAGGAGGGAAGCTGACTCTATGCTGCTTGCCTAACACACATGATTCACAGAAAGGCACAGAAGTCACAGATTCCTTACCAAAATAACCAGCCCTACGCATGACATCTAAACCCTTATTGCTCATATGTCCTAGCCTATTATGCCACAAAGAGGTCTTATCAGAACATACAACATTCACATAATCAGCAAAAGGTTTAGCATGGCACACATAAAGGTTATTCACCTTCTCAGCTTTAAACAAAACAAGAGAATTTTTCAAGATTTTCAT